GCGCTCCATTCCACGCCTATCTGCTTCCGTGGAGTTGGTGCTGGTGATGGATTGGTTGTGACGCAGGTTTTATGACTTTAAGGAAAGCCATAGGCCATGAGGACTTGTATACCGGTAGAGTACCGCGATCCTCCCATCCTCATAAGAGCAAATATCTTCTGCTCTTGAGGGTATATGGCATTGCCATAACTTTTGTTTCCTCGCATAGTGGTATCTCCTCCCCACTAGCTGGAAATCATAGTATTGTGCCTGGCCGGGACTTTACGATCCACTGGAATATAATCCAGCATTATCTCCATTGAGTGGAGAATCATCCATCAGGATTTGGTTGTGACTGTTGTGTCGAGTCTTCTGCTGCGGCGGCGGCGGCGGTTGCGACGACGGCGACGGCGGCAGCTGCTGCAGAGAATTCTCTCAACTCGTACCGGTTGAAGGAGAATCCATCAACTCCCTCATCCCAGTAGAGTTGTCCTGATGGGTGTAACAGGCGTAACTACCAGGAACACGTGCACATTAGTACACATGTGTTGCTCCATTGCTGCCGGTGATTGTTTCATTTGAGGGTATGAAGAGAAATTTGCTTCTCCCCTCAATGTATCCACGGGTAGCAATTCCTGGTATGCTCATCCGTGCCTCCGATGTACGGTCGGTAGAGCGCGTGATTGTGTTGTAGTAGTCCGCATCTCCCTCATTTGTTGACACCTCGTGTTGCTTGACGTTCTCCTGTATCGTCGAAGTTACGCTGATGCTTGTAACGCTTCGGCTTCTGGTAGAATCGCCTCCAATGCATGTGCCGTAGGGTCGCTAGTGAACGAGTACTTGCCGGATTAGAGGTTAATTACTCCTCAATCTGTCAAGCATCGTGACGTGCACGGAATTTTCTTCCACGCAGGTCATTAACACCTGGAATCGCGACGCATGATTGGTGTGTCGCCTCGTGAGGTTGATGTTGAGACTGCTCCAATCAATCACCTCGGATGGCTGAGATTCTTGATGAAGACGAATCGTTCAGCTCCTGTTACGAAGTAGTGTCTCGCTGGCCTTGACGAGACGGGTTCACTGCGTCGTCGTTGCGTGCGAAATCTGCTCCTTCGCAGCAACTTGAACTTGGGAGCATTGCAAGAGAAAACAGCTACTTCTCTGCAATCCCATAGGTTGTCGATCCAATTTTTGAGATGAAGTGACTCATGGATGGAGAACATGTCTTCACGCTGCTCTATTGTTTTTCCTGGGTAAAGATCTCGCTGTGTTGATGTCGATCCATTTTTAACGAAGATGACTTCGTCAAAATAACTCGATCGTTATCGACACCAGTCAGAAGATGCGTCGATTGTGCAGTCGCTGGTCACGAATGTTGTCTCCATGATGATGATTTCCCATAGTGTAGTCTCTGCTGTATTCGTGCCGTTGATTCCGCACCGATCCGACGATCCACGTTCTCCTGTCATTTTTCTGCATGCAGATATTACCAAGTAGGTAATACTCTGGCAGATTTCTGACTCCGCAGATGATTACCGCACCATATTCGTCACCAAATAGAGGAGTCCGAATTTGGTTGTGCAAATATTGTCAACGCTGTTGAAGGCGGCCCATTTCTGGTTCTGCGCGTCATTCTCTCTTCGTGCAGACGTCGCGCTCCATCTCGTCCGTTGAAGTAGAAGTCCATCCGACGGTCCAAACTCCAAGCGATCTGAGGATATTACTGAGACGTTCAGCAGCTTTCGGCGCCCGGGTTGACTCGTTTCCTGCAGCAATTCTCGGTCGTCGATGTCGGCTGTCGAACGATCGGACGCTCCGAAAACCTTCGCGGCTTGCGAGGTCCCGTTCCCATTCGCGCCGAAACGCAAACTCGCTCAGACGGATTTCGTTCTCGCCTCGGTCGATCTGAAGCGTCGAATCTCAATCGGACGGATGTCGTCGGTCGAACCTCCGCAGAATTCCGCGCAACTCCAAGTGTTGTCGCGATCTGCGAACTTCTCCGAATGTCGCAGGGAGTGTTCCGCCGGAACTGACGCGCTCGCCAGGTCGAGGCCGTTTGCCCCCGCGAAAAATCGGCACCGTCGATGCAGTCCATCGAACGGTCGGCGAGGCATCTCGCCTTCGAAGGGGACCCCAGGTGCAACTGCGAGAGGAACGTCGAAATTTAAATGAAAGTGCGTTGTACTTACAGGAATTGAAGTTTCGACTCCATCCTCCGCGTGCTCCTGGGGGCCCAGCGGTTAAGCGTTGAGCTGAACCCTTGGCTCTGATACCAAGTGTCACAGGATCGAATGTCCCGAGGAAAGGTTTGCTCAATGTTGCACTATCAATCAATACAAGGTGCTTTTATACTTCCAAGATACATCAGGTAACCAGGTTTATCCTATCCAAAGGGAATAGACCCTTCTAGAAATAGAATCACCATGCGTATAGCCACGCAAGGCTATTGGCTTTAAGGGATTACGGCAGGATTACGCTAGATATAGCGCTCCAGTACATCCCGAGCCTGGTCGGTGATATAATCATAATAATAGGATAAACCCAAGGATAATGGAAAATGAGGAATAGGAAACCAAATGAGATGAGATAAAGACCAAATGAATCAGGAGTGAAAGAGGAATGAAATAGAAATGAAATATGGAAAGGGGAAATTGGTGTAACGGTGTCGTACTCTCACAGCGGTGCAGTGCGGTACAGTGCGGTGCAGTGCGTAGCAGCGCGGTGCCAGGCAGTACAGTGTGGTGCGGGGCGGTGCAGTGCGGGGCAGTACGGTGCAGGGCAGTGCAGGGCGGGGGGCGGGGGGGGGGGGGGGGGGGGAACCGTACCAGTGAGGAGGACCGGGGCCGGGGCAGGGACGAGCGCAGGGGCCGGGCCGGTGCAACGGGGCCGGGCGGGTGCGACGGGGCCGGGCGGGCGCGACGGGGCCGGGCTGGTGCGACGGGGCCGGGCGGGTGCGTCGGGGCCGGGCTGGTGCGACGGGGCCGGGCGGGTGCGTCGGGGCCGGGCTGGTGCGACGGGGCCGGGCGGTGCGATGGGGCCGGGCGAGCGGGACGGTGGCCCGGGAGGGGCACGACGGGGCCAAGGAGGGGCGCACCGGGGCTGGGCGGGCGCGACGGGGCCGGACGGCTGCGACGGGGCCGGGCAGGGGGCGACGGGGCCGGACGGGTGCGCCAGGGCCGGGCGGCTGCGACGGGGCCGGGCAGGGGGCGACGGGGCCGGGCGGGTGCGACGGGGCCGGGCGGGCGCGACGGGGCCGGGCTGGTGCGACGGGGCCGGGCGGGGCGTGACGGGGCCCAGGAGGGGGCTCGACGCGGCCCAGGAGGGGCGCTACGGGGCCCAGGAGGGGCGTTACGGGGCCCAGGAAGGACGGTACAGGGCCCAGGAGGGGCACTACAGGGCCCAGGAGGGGCCCAGGAGGGGCGCGACTGGGCCCAGGAGGGGCACTACGGGGCCCAGGAGGGGCGCGACGGAACCCAGGAGGGGCGCTACGAGGCCCAGGAGGGGCGCTACGGGGCCCAGGAGGGGCGCGACGAGGCCCAGGAGGGACGCTACGGAGCCCAGGAGGGGCATTACGAGGCCCAGGAGGGGCGCTACGGGGCCCAGGAGGGGCGCGACGGGGCCAAGGAGGGGCGCTACGGAGCCCAGGAGGGGCGCGACGAGGCCCAGGAGGGGCGCTACGGGGCCTAGGAGGGACGCGACGGGGCCCAGGAGGGGCGCTACGGGGCCCAGGAGGGGCGCGACGGGGCCTAGGAGGGGCGCGACGGGGCCCAGGAAAGGGCGCGACGGGGCCCAGGAGGGGCGCTACGGGGCCCAGGAGGGGCGGGACGGGGCCCAGAAAAGGGCGCGACGGGGCTAGGGGGGTCACGACGGGGCTAGGGGCACGACGGGGCTAGGAGGGAGGCACGTCGGGGCCGAGCTAGGGGGGCGAGCGGAAGCGGTAGGTGGGGGGGGGATCCTAACCTACGCGTGATACCATATCAGAATTAGAGTAGTGAATGATGATAGAGTGAGAGTACACACAGATATACCTAAGTGTTGTACCCTCTAGGAGGTGACCCTATACAGTCTATACAAACATGACACATACACATGTTTGACAGGCGCGTTCGGGCCCGATGGCCCGCCACTTCACTTCTTTTTGGAGAACTCGGCCGACTGTGCTGCGATCGGGCCACAGGCCGTATCTGGTGTGGCACCATCGCCCAATGTCTTCGAGACGTAAAGTCGGGTTCTTCTTCGCGTACTGGCAGATTGCAAGCTTCTGCCCGACGGACAGCGCAGTTCGGCGTGCAGGTGCCATGCGGACGGCGTCGTGGGTCTGACGGGCTCGTTCTTTGTGTCGTGAAGAGGTCGAAGATTGGGCCGTACAAATAACCCCGTAGTGTCTGCATTGTTGGCGGGGGGAACGATGTTGGGACCCCTCTGTTGCTTACTTGGCGATTTCCTGTTGGCAGACGGATGACGGAATTGCCCAAGGCTACGCAGACGGATTCTGTTCGCGTTGCTGGCGTTGTTCTAGTGGACCGTCAACGAGGTGGTCGTATCGACAGCATCATTTGGATTTTGGTCTCGACATTGGTTGGCGAGCCTGACACGCCTGGATGTTTAAAGGCTCGCCAACCAGTAGGAGAGGTCGCCCTGGAAACACAAAAACAAACTGATTGGACAACCAAATATCAGCCGAATTGACTGTCGAACTCACTGTTCAGTTGAGACGGGTACACTTTGCTTACAAGGAGAGGTCCTTAAGGATAAAATGCCTATGAGATACTCCTGGGCGTAAAAGGAAGTCGCCTACAAGGCATATGACCTGTATTGAGTCTTGATTCGCTTGTGGGCAAGGAACACATACTCCATCGGCTGGGAGGTGGATGGAGCTGGACGAGAGCGAGGCATGCAATGCAACCATGGCAGTATCGTGTCGTGTGACCGCAGCACTGCCTAAGGGGCGCACAGCCAAATGCAGAGCTCAGTCCCCCAACCTCACCGTTGGTGGCAATCTAGATTCGCCTTGCCACGCCCAGCAAGTAGCCTCTGCTCGCAGGCTGCTTGGCTGCTTGGCATTCCAATCAACTAACTTGCTGGTGGCTGGTTCCACACAACAATACGCAGGAGGCTCTAAATTTGCTCAAACCAGGTGTTACATACAACTGGTATTATTACATCGCTTTACAAGTGGTTGTATTTGGAAGTGTAGTTGAGGGCCCACACGGGCACGCAGTAGACGAGGATGCCGCCGAGGAAGGAGGGGAGGATGGTGAGGAGGTAGAGGTAGCAGTAGGGGCGCCAGCAGCGGCCGGTCTTGGCCTTGTGCAGGGCGAGCACCTCCACCATGAGCGTGGACACCGTGCTCATGCACCCCAGAAACCCCAGCTGCACCGCCCCCACTGCCAGGATGCTTGTCTCGTTGTTGTACTGCCGGGGGGGGGGGACGGGGGGGTGGGGGAGGCCAGGGTGTGGGAAGGTGCATGACGAGAGGAAGAGAGGAAGACAAAGGGGGCTGGGGGGACAGGAGGCGCTGGAAAGAGAGAGTGAGTGCAAATGGGGGATGCGAGTGGAGTGAAAGTGGTGGATGCGAGGCATGGGGTGGGCGGGAAGCCACACAGCCTGTGCACGGCTAGGGGTGCCAGGCGCCCGCGTCTCACCGCGAGCACGACGGTGGAGAGGGCGGCCTCCAGCACGGACGCGGTGACGTTGGTGGCCACCGTGCCCACGGGCACCCACTGCCACCACCGCCCCTTGCCCACCGCGCCGCCGTTGAGCCACGACAGGTACCACCGCACCCACGCACCCGGCGCCGCTATGAGGCACGCGAACCAGAGGCGCCGCGTCTTGTTGGACGAGTCGTCCAGTGCCGTGCCAATGGCGGCGCCCGTGGCGAGGAAGACGGAGACGCAGAAGAAGAGCAGCAGCGACGCCCACCGCCGGTCAAAGTGGTCGCTGCGCGGCACGCGGATGGCTGGCTGGTTGCGTGCGGCGCGGCGCTCGTTGGCCCTCTTGAGCTGCCAGCGGATGCCGTCCGCCAGGTCGATGCCCGCCATCAGCGACACGAAGGGCAGCGCCGCACCTGCCAGGGATGGTGGGACGCCAGGGCGCATGGTGGTGAGCGGCGGGCAGCAGGGGCACGGCGAGGCACAGATGCTGTCAGGGGCACGCGCAAGAGCGATCTCATGGAGAGGGACAATGCACATGCAGGCGCAGCATGGCAACGATGCAGCAGGTGGGAGTCACAGCAATGGAGCGCCGTACCGACGATGCAGCCAGGTGCTCAGGTGCTCAGGTGCTCCTTCATCCCATGCATAAATGAACCCCACGATCACGCTAGCACGTACCGACGATGTAGCCGGCGAGCGCGCGCACCCAGAGGCCGGAGGCGAGGATGGCGAGCATGCGCTGGTTCCACGACGCGAAGGTCGTAATGCTCCCGCACAGCCCCGTCGCCAACCCGATTGCCAGGTGCTCCGAGTACGCTGAGATGTGGCGCTTCGCCGCCACGCCCACCACGCCCATTATGAAACACCCCACCTGCGCCACGGAAGGGGGGCGGGGGGGAGAAGCGGAAGGCGGAACGGAGGAGCGGGAGGGGGCGGGGAATGGGGAAGGAGCAGAAGGGGGCGGAAAGGAGGGAAGACATGGGGTGAAGATAGGGAGGGTATTAAAGAGTTAGCGACAGTAATTCACGACGTTTGCGACAGTAACACACGACGGTAGCGACGGCGACTCACGATGTTGGCGGGCAGGTCGATGAAGACCGTCTGCTCGTCGTCCGTCACGTGCGCCACCTCCGGGCCGAACAGAATCTCCAGCCCGTACCGAATCAATACCTGCCAGCGCGCCGCCCACGCGGCAGGATCGGGAAGACAGATGGAGTCAGTTGTGCGTGCGACGAACAGGGCTCGAGATGAGAGGACGAGGGGCGGAGAGAGGACGAGGGGCGGAGGGGTGACGAGCGCGGGGGGGGAGGGCGGCATGGGTGCAAGGGGCGGCGAGCGCGGGTGAGCGGCGTACCCCGAGGATGGCGAAGGCGGCGAGGTGCACGAGCACCGACACGTGCGCCAGCCATGGCTCCAGCCGCTCGTCCTCCTCCGGCGCCTGCTGCCGCCACGCACAGGGGGATTGGGGAGGACGGGGGGAATGGCGGAGGTTGAAGGGGGCGAAGCGGAGATGGACGAAAACGCACGGCCCGGATAAGGCGGAAAGCGAGATTTCACACACTCGGAGTAAGCGCGCCGAGCTGAGATGTGCTGAGATCCGAGCCGGTGCTGCGCAGCTGCGCGACACCGTCGTCGGGTCGCCGCCGCTAACCCAGGACATGCAAGCACGCTCGCCACACACTCGCCACACACTCGCCTGTATTTCCGATATCCGCGGCTGAGCGGCAGCTGGCGCCGCGACGACAATTGCGGCGGGAGGTGAAGAGCCAAGTCCCGAGGCGGGAAGCGCGATGTCTAGCGTGGCTGCTTCCGCCGAGGCCGACCCGTCGGACAGCTGCTGCGAGTGTCTGGGAGCACTATCGGAGCTCATCGTTCCTAAGATAATAATAACCAGTACAATGCAATCTGAAGCCTTCGGTCGGAGGTAAATGGGTAACCCTACTTCTTGACTACAAGGATCAGTCGACCTAACTACACGGTATGGCGGATGGCGGCGAGAGCAGGTTGCATGGCATGCGTTCACCACGGCACACGAACCACTAAGCGACGTTCAAGTCAGATGCTCGCGCGTTGTTACACCATGGAGACAGGGCGAGCCAGCGCTGCAGGTCCACTCCACACTGCATATCTCAGGCAGGCAGCCATGGCGCTTTCGGGTATGCTAGGGTAGGTTGGGAGGCGGCGGGGGAGCGAGGCTGGCCCGCCCTGCCGGGCCTGAACGGAGTTGCAGGGCGCGCGGGGGGGCGGGCGGGGCGGATGGATCATGGGACTCGAGGAGGCGTGGCTGCGGGGAGGCTGATTCGTCGAGGGGGAGGCAGGCAGGGGGAGGGGGAGGTGCGGCGAGGCGAGGGGGCAACCAGTGTGGGTGGGGGATCGGATGTGGTGCGGGGAGGTTGCGCCAGATGTCAGCGCCAGCCAATGAGGTGGAGCTTGGCCAAGGAAACGAAACGAAACCCTAGTTGGCTGTACCTTCACCTGATGCCCCTCCCCACCGCCACCAGACCTCAGCCCGCCTGGTTTCGCACGCAGCAGCCGTGAGGGCATCAGGTCTGCAGTTTGCGCCCCAGCTCAAGTTACCAGCATGTTACGGTGTAAATTATCATGGTATTTTGTCTGTAGTGTACTATGTACAGATTTCTTCCTTTTACGGGCCCGTCTGTCTAAAGGCATTTACTCAATATCGCGGTTGTGTTTCATGTCAGATTATCAGATTCCCGCCACAGCCCTATTCGCCAGCAGACACGGCGACGCGGTGTGATGGGGATCAAAGCAGGGATCTCGCTAAGCCTAGGGTATTCCGTTAGGTCACGGGATCGGCCCCAAAATGACCCGTTAGCGGACGGAATCGCCGAAATTTACCCGTTAGCATACGGAATGGTCGAAGACAAATGGCCTCACCACGGCTAAGGATAAGCCCCAGAACCCCCAGGAATCCTTTCTCGCGCGTACTATTTCTCGAGCGGTTTGGAAGAGTACAAAAACTACCCGCTAACTAACCTATCTCTTTGCTTAGCGGAGGAAGTTGGGGAAAATGTAAGGGAGGCTGGGAAGGGATGGTATACCACTACGAACAGATCTCCTACTACAAGTGCACTTCGTCCGGAATCAAATATAAGTATCCCGGAATCTCAAGGAATCCCACGGAAAGTAATCCGTTGGGAGTACGGAATCAATAAACCATTACTATGCAAAAAAACGAAATCAGATCTAGAACAACCCTTATTTTCTTGGAATTAAGAATAATTACCCATTTAGCCAGAGCCCTGGATCAAAGGGGTTCACGTTGTGCCGACAAATACTCTCCTCGCGTTCTCTCAGTTCTGCCGCGATTGCACTCAAAGTGTTGTATGTAGCTCTCGCAGATGGACGATGGACGCTATGTGAGATTTCGCGCGCAGTAGCATCCTGATCACGATTCGCTGGCATTTCTTTCTCAAGAAGTTCTGTAACATATGTGAGTTATTTTTTATTAAGTCGACGCGTGCGCCATTGTGTGACGCGCGACCAGCTCGACGAACGTCCTTATGGCTCGCCGCTTCCGCTTCTGCCATTTAACGGCTCTCGCGTTTCTCGTGTGCGTGCTGTCGCCGCGCTCGTCGGCGACCGCCAAGTACGACGTCCTCTTTTACTCCGCCGGGCCCTACGCGCCGTGCGGCACGTCCGGTAACTTCTCCGCGGTCGGCGCGCAGGGCGCGCTCGAGCCGTACAAGGGCGAAGCGCGGTCGCTCAAGGGACCGGCGGTATCGGGGCGAGTGACCGTTTACGATGACTGCTACTTCGCGCTTTCGGATCTCAGGTGCCGCTCTCTCACGCCTCGACCATCGCTCTATCTCTCACCATCCTCGCGTTTCACCTAGTGACCCCACACTCGTCACGATCTCTCGCGCACTCCACCTATCGCCTCTCTCTCCACCCCCTCATCTTCATCTCCCCACCTCCCCGCCACTCCTCCCCTCCCCCTCCGCCTTCCCCGCAGCATCAGCGCGTCCGTCGACGCGCCGCTATCCATCTGGGCGGGGCCAAAAGGCGCCGACCCCTACTCGCACGCCGCGCCCGTCGACCCCTACGCCGCCTCCTCCTTCCCCGCCGCCGCCGCCTCTGCCTTCGCACCGGCCGGCACCGCATTCAACCTCACTGCGACGTCGCTAGTGGTGGTGTTCCTGCAGGCGGGGGGGCTCACCTGGGACGAGGCGCAGGTGCTCTACGTGTGCGCGGGGTCCGCCTCCGCGGGCATCGCGCGGATCTATGCGCAGTTCGAGGTGGGGGCCCGGGGGGAGCACGGGGGGGCGCACAGCAAGGCGGTGCGCTGGGTGCGCAAGGCGGTGGGGGTGGCGGCCAGGGAGCAGCGCCTGCTCTTGCCCGCGCCCCCGGCGCGCCCCCCTCCTCCTCCCCCAAAGCCGCCTGCGCCGGGCAGCAGCGGGCCTTCCGCGGGGCTGACGAACTGCGTGGAGGCGGTGCCGGGGCTAATGAACATGTGAGTGACTGTAACGGGAGGTGTGGAGATGGGTGCAGTACGGTTGTACGGTTCTCTCCCTGCTGCCCACGCCCCCTCACTCACGCCCTCCCCACTCCCTCCCCTCTCTCCCCACGTCGTGTGCGCGTGTGGGCGATTATGCGCGGCGGCGATGGCTGCGCGGCACCGCGCGCGCAGATACTGGACCGTGCATCACGCCGACGCAGACGCTGCCGCCGATGCCGCGGCACCGCCGCCAGAAGCGTCTGCGGTCACGGGGTCCGCGACCGCGCCCACCAGCAGCGGCGGCGGGGAAAGCGGCGGTGGCGGGGGGAGCGGGCGGGGCGCGGTGGTGGAGGTGGGGATGGAGGCGCGCGTGGGCGAGGGGTCGTGGGTGGCGTTCGGCGTGTCACGCAACCAGACGCGGTTCGCCATGCTGCAGAGCGACGTGACGGTGGGCGGCGTGCTGGCGGGGGGCGCGGAGGGCTTCGCGCTGGACTTCCACATCACGGCCAAGCAGCCGTGCCAGCAGGTCGCGGGGGGCTTCGTCGGCGTCTGCCAGGTGAGGCGCCGGTCCGCGCAGGGCGCTGGTGCGGCGCTGCTTGTGCGGTGTGGAATCCATCACCACCCCATCTCTCTGCCCACGCTCCTCGTGCGTGCTCTCACCTCGTGCGTGCTCTTCCACCTCGTGCGTGCTCTTCCTCCTCGTGCGTGCTCTTCCACCTCGTGCGTGCTCTTCCACCTCGTGCGTGCTCTTCCGCCTCGTGCGTGCTCTTCCACCTCGTGCGTGCTCTTCCACCTCGTGCGTGCTCGTCCTCCTCGTGCGTGCTCTTCCGCCTCGTGCGTGCTCTTCCACCTCGTGCGTGCTCTTCCACCTCGTGCGTGCTCTTCCACCTCGTGCGTGCTCTTCCACCTCGCATCACTGAACCTCTCTATTGCCCTCCCCCCTTCCTCCCATCTCCTTCCCCCCCGCCTCCCCCCAGGATTCTCTCCTCGCCGCGTCCCCCACGCCGCTCAACAACGTGCGCCTCATCTCCGCCGCGCGCCGCGGTGACGTCACATTCATCCGCTTCTCCAAGCCCGCCGCCACCTCCGACGACCGCTTCGACGCCAACCTGCTGCGCGCGCCGGGCCTCTCCGCGCTCTGGTGGGTCGTCTTCGCCGCCGGCCCCCTCGCGCCCGCGTCCACCGCCGCCGCGCCCGCGCTGCTCTTCCACGACCCCGCGCTGGGGTACTTCGCGGGGGGCACGCGCATCCCCTTCGCGCCACCCGCGCCCATCCGCACCTGCTCCCCGCTCTGGGGCTCCAAGCCCCTTTACCACCCCCCGCTCCCCCCTACGCGCCCCCTCCCCCTCCCGGCGCCGCCGCCCCTCCCCCGCCGTTGGGGGCGGACGCGGCGGGCGGCGTGGCGGGCATGCCGGGGCTGCGCGAGTGCAGCACAGCGGTGGGCGGGCAGGTGTACGCGTTCGACGCGTGCGACGCGCTGCCGGGCGGCTTCCTGCTGATGTGGTCGCTGGCCGGCATCACGCTGCGCGCCGCCTTCGTCGCGCAGGCCGTGCCCGAGGGAGGGTACGCCGCCGTGGGCCTCTCGCCGTCCGGCGCCGTCGTCAACTCCAGCCTGCTCGTCGTCGCGTACACGGGGCAGGGGGAAGGGGGAGGTAGTGGCGGGAAGAGCGGGGGGGCGGGAGGAGCAGCAGGGGGTGTGGAGGTGGGGCAGTACGTGGTGCGCGCGGCGAGCAGGGGCGCAGGCGTGGAGGCGGTGGCAGGGGGCGACCTGACGGTGGTGAGCAGCGCGGGGCAGGCGAGGAGCGGCGTGGTGACGCTGCTCTTCTCGCTGCTGCTGCTGCCCAACCAGACCGCCGCCGCCTATCTCGTCTGGACCAAGGGCTCCCACGCCGACCTCTCGCTCGCCGCCACCGCTGCTGCGGCCAACGACAGCGCCACGGGTGGCGGCAGCTTGTCGGTGGACGGGTTGGAGGCGCTGATGACGTCAGCGATCAGCTTTGAGCGCGGCGAGCCCAAGGACGACGCCAATGACACGATCCGCCTCTGGAAGGTGCGCCTGCCGCCTGCTGCCTGCTGCCCGCTCTCTCCGCGCTCTGCTCACCGCTCTCTGCTCTCTGCGCTCTGTTCTCTGTTCTCTGCTCTCTGCTCTCTGCTCTCTGCTCTCTGCTCTCTCGGCGCTCTGCTCTCTGCTCTCTGCTCTCTCGGCGCTCTGCTCTCTGCTCTCTGCTCTCTCGGCGCTCTGCTCTCTGCTCTCTGCTCTCTGCTCTCTGCTCTCTCGGCGCTCTGCTCTCTGCTCTCTGCTCTCTCGGCGCTCTGCTCTCTGCTCTCTGCTCTCTGCTCTCTGCTCTCTGCTTGCGTTTTGCTGCTCGCTGCTCTCTGTGTGTTTCTCTTCTCCGGGTTCCCCTCTCACCCCCATGGCATCGTGTGATCGCCTCTTCTCATCATCCAAACCCCTTCTCCCCCCGTTCGGTCAGATCCACGGCATCATCAGCACGGTGGCATGGGCGCTGCTGCTGCCGCTGGGCGCCATGGCGGCACGCTACCTGCGCCAGGTGTACCCGCTGTGGTTCCCTGCGCACCAGGCGCTGCAGCTCGCCGCGTGCTCGCTCGCCACCGTGGCGTTCACCATGGCGTTCACCATGCCGCACGGCGCCATCGCTGGGCGGGCGGACGAGGCCAGCCGGGGTGCGTGCGTGACGGCGCACACGGCCATGGGCATCGCGCTCATGGCGCTCGCCGCATTGCAGCTCTCAGCGCTGGTGTGGCGCCCGCACGAGGACAGCCCCTCGCGCCCCTACTGGCGTCGCGTGCACGCGGCACTGGGTGCGTTGACGCTGCTGCTGGGGCAGGCGCAGGTGTTCATCGGCCTCTTCATCTCGGCGGCCCCGCTGTTCTACACGGTGCTGCTGGCTGCGTGGGTCATCTTCGCTGTGCTGCTGGCCACGGCGCTCGAGCTCCACTTCTTTCCCACCTTCTACCGCCTCGCGCACTGCCGGCCGCGCCTCACAGGGGGGGAGGGCACTGACGAGGCGTCTGACGTGGACAGCCTGTGTGCGTCCAGTGACCGGCTGGCAGGCGGTGCTGGCAGGAAAGGGCCCTCAGGTGCCGCTGCTGGCGCCTCGCCTGCCCCCCGCGCTGGAGTGGGCGCGTCCCCTGCTGCTGCTGGGGGCGCAACAGCAGCAACAGCAGCGGAGGGGGGGGGCAAGTTGAGCAGTGGGGGGGGCGCAGTGGGAGGTTGGGTGGCGGCAGTGGTGGGGGTGCTGAGGCGCAACAGGGGCGCGGGTATGCTGCCTGAACAGCCGAGGGGGCAGGGGAGAAGAGCGAGGGGGGGGAAGGGTGTGGGAAGGGGAGGAGGGAGAGGAGGGCGCGCCGCAGGCGGTGCGAGAGGGAGTGAGCGGCATGGGGCGGGTGAGCGGCATGCGGGGTACCTGGGTGCGGGGGCCGGGGGGTACATGAGCATGGCGAGCGCCAACGCCGCCACGGACAGACGATCCAAGGAGCTGCTGCCACCGCCCCCACACGCACAGGAACCACCAGCCCACGCCGCTGCTGCTGCTGCTGCTGGTGCTGGTGGCGTGACAGAGGCAGAGGGAGCAGGAAGGGAGGGGGCGAGAGCGGGGGAGAGAAGAGAAGGGGTGGAGGGAAAGGGAAGTGCGTTGGGTCGAAGCCAGACAGTGGCAGAGGGGGGTGCGAGGAAGGACGAGTGGGAGGTCAGCAGACAGGGCCACCACGCCACTGCTGCACCTGCTGCTGCTGCCGCAGGGGGCAGCAGCCAATCACGAGACGCGTGGTTGGGTGGAGCGGCAGCACGGAGGGGGGAGAGAGGTGAGGGGAGGGCGAGTGAGGGAGTGAGTGAGGGAGTGAGTGAGTACATCCGCGTGGACAAGTACAATGTACGGGCCACAGTGGTGAGAGCACCGGACCTCGCTCTCAGGGGAAGAGGACAGCAGGGAAGGGCGAGGGGAGAGGCAGGAGAGGCAGGAGGAGCGGGAGGGGTAGGAGGGGGAAGCAGCATGAGTAAAGGGGGAGGGTCGGCCCAATAATGTTTTGAAAGAGTGGTGCTGTGCTGTAAGGCATCGTGCTGTGACGACATCGTGCTGTGCCATGCTTAGATTCACCATGGCAGGTCTGTATGGCCCCATATGTGAAGGTGGCAGCATGATGTGTGTGTTGCACGATGCAGTAACCACCTGTGCACTGCACCAGGCAACATGCGGTTCACGTTGTTCTCCTGCTAGGCTGTAGCCACGTGCTCACCTCTGCACAACGCAGCAGCCCCTGCTACAGATGGTCTCAGCTACTGCATGAATCACAAGCTGGTGATTGCGACGATGGCCATATCAGACAGGAGAGTGGCTCCAAGATAGCAGCCATACAGACAGTTGCTCAGACTAGATGCACAACGAACTGTACTAAGGTATATATTTTATTACAGATAGCTACATTGCACTGCAATTGCTAGGGTACAGAAGAAGACTACTATCCCCGTCCTGCTGCTTTTGCAGCAGGGAAAAGAATGGCTAGCAGCCACAGCTTAGGTCTGGTGGCGCCCAGCACATCCATGCAGAGTGTGCCACCTCCAGCTATCCTGGTGGCGCCCAGCAGCACGAAGGGCTCATGTATGACGAGGCATCATCACCATCACCCATGGCTGCCCCAGCAGTGTCAGGGCTGGGCGGGCTGGGGGGAGGAGCCGATGTGGCTGTAGAGTGAGTCGAAGCCCAGCAGCCAGCACGGCACCGAGTACACCAGTAGGCCCAGCACAAAGGAGGGCGCGATGGTGAGCAGCGCGTAGAGATACGCCTTGGCGGGGCTTCTGAGCGTGTAGTGCAGGTAGAGCGCCTCCAAGCACGGCATGGAGACCGTGGACAGGCACGCCAGGAACCCCAGCTGCATCGCCCCCACCGCCAGCTCGCTCTCCCTGCCCTGGTACTGGTAGGGGGAATTGGAGGGGGGGTGGAGGGGGGGGGACGGGGAGCGGGGTTTGGATGGAGAGATGGGAAGAGTAAGGGAGGTGAGTGAGGGGAGAGGAAGGGAGGTGCGTGAGGGGAGCGGGGGAGGGAGGGAAGGCAGGAGGGAGAAGGGGATTGGGAAGGATGAGGAATGATGAGGCGTGCAGAGGAGAGGAGGGCGGAGCAGCAGCAGCAGCAGCAGCAGCAGCGGGGTTGTACCTTGAGGTAGATGACGGAGATGGCGGCCTCTATCCCCGCCGCGCCCACGTTCGCCATCCACGTGCCCCATGGCATCCACTCCCACGCGCCCGCCTCCTCCCCCTCCCCCGCCAGCAGCGCTGCCTTGGCTGGGGAGCGGGGGGAGGGCGCGCAGGGGAAGCGGAGGGCGCAGGGCGCGCCGTTGAAGCGGAGGAGGAGGTAGCGGAGGTAGGTGCCGAGGGGGGCGAGCAGGCACGCGCAGGCAAGCATGCGCCACTGCTGCGCGGAGGAGGGGATCAGCAGCGCGCCGAGCCCCGCCAGCAGCAGCATGGAGGCAGAGAGCAGCAGCATGGGGAGCATGTGGCGCCGGTGGTGGGGGGGCTGCGCGCGCGGAGTGGGCGCGGCGAGCTTGGCGTGTAGCATGGTGAAGGGCAGGAGGAAGGCGGAGGGGGAGGAGCGCGCGGAGGCGGAAGCGTGGCGGATGGCCGTGCCCGCGTCGACACCCGCGACGAGCGCGAGCAGGGGGAGCGCGGATCCGGTGAAGTAGCCGAAGGCGGCGCGCGCCCAAAGACCCGAAGTGGCGATAGAGAGCATGCGCTGGTTCCACGTGGCGAACGTTGATATGCTGCCGCACAGCCCCACGACGACGGCGATGGCGAGGTGGCGCGAGCGCGCGAGCAGCGCGGGTAGCAGCGCGACGGCGGAGAGGCCGAGGAGGAAGGCGCCGAGCATGTTGGCGGGCAGGTCCACGAACACCGTGAGCGCGTCGTTGGTCACGTGCGCCACGCCCGGGCCGAAGAGTTCGTCCAGCAGAAACTGCACGCACACCTGGGGGCGGAGGAGGAGGGGGGGCGCGGGGGAACGAGGGTACGAGCGGGAGATAAAGAAAGGCCTTTAGCTTGTGCGCGTGCGGTGGTGGAAGCGGGGGAGGAGAGGGGGGAGGGGTGCGGGGGAAGAGCGGTGCGTGGGGGGGATGGCATGGGCGCGCACCCCGACGATGGCGAACGGCGTGATGTGCGCCACGATGCTGGCGCCGTCCATCCACCGCTCCCACCGCTCCAAGCGCTCTCTCTCCCCCGCCGAGTCAGCGTGTGCGCAGACGCACGCGGGGGGCGCGTCGAAGAACCCCGCGTGGCTGGCGTAGCAGAAGTCAGTCCCAGTCACCTGCCATGCGCGCGCAGCGGGGGTGCGGCAGGAGGTGTGTGAGGAGGGAGCGCCGGGGAAAAGGCGCTGGGCGCAATGAATGTGGCGGCGATAGCGGGGACGCTGGGCTGCGCACCCTCCTTGCGCTCCTCCGCTCCAGATTTCAATCTCCGCCCTCCATCCCCGGCCCCCCTATTCCGACCGCCTCACCTCGTCTGCGGACGTGAGCGGAAGCGCGCATTTCCGCCGAAAACGGCTGGCGCGGCAGACGTAGGTCGCGCCACTGCCTGTTTCCGTCGCCTGCGTGACGTCATTCCTCCCAACCGCGACGCACGCTATCGCTGCGCTGTCGCTGCAAACGGCGCTATCTGATCCCGGCTCGCTGCGGCTCGCGAGCTCGGCGCGCTGTCGAGCGGTAGGGTCCGCGTCGCACGACACAGCCGCGCCGACATTAATCAGCGGGCGGCGATCCGCTTGTACAGCCTCGCAGGCTGTGGCGACCGCTCCGCTCGACGCTCTACACTCGTCCGAACCCACCGCTGCTGCTTCTGAAGGCGACGAATCCCCGTTCCCCAGGCTACCGTGGGAATTACGCGACGGCCGTGTCACGTCAGGCGCGGCGACTGAGAGGTTGGGACGCTGGTCGTCGCTCATTGGTTCGGCTGTCAGTGAATTGGGATGGAGGTAAGGCGCAGGCGCGGGGGGTTGCACGGGGGGACCTGCGAGGGTCAGATAGCCGTGCGCAGCGCACACAGCGGGGCGCGCCTAGTTCTTAACGACGTGCGGTCATCACGGGAGAGAGGTGATTCTCGACATGGCGGACGCTGTCTGGCAGGTCTCAGCGGAAGCTGGATCTGGACCTAGCGGGAGGCGTAAGGGCAGAGGGCGAAATTATCGAGTGATAGGAAATAAAGTACTATCGTCGTGCCGATTGGATTTTCTGAAAGAGGGTGGCATGAGCGCTGCTGATCTATAGCTGGCGGGAGAGGATAGCACCTAGGTGATTACTAGCCAAGCCACAAGACCTGGCTGAGGGGTGCTTGTGTTGGGTGGTTGTGCCTGGGATGGACAAAACAGTCAGAGCGGGGGAGGAGGTACTGTAAAGCGGGGAGGCAAGGTACGGTGTGGGAGTGGGGTAGGCGTTGTAGGGGGAGGTGACATGCGAGGAGCCAACAGGGACAGGCTTGCAGGCTCGCAGTATGGCGGGTGTTGTGTTGGTCGTGCTGGATGGAAGGAGGATCATCGGGGAATGCGGGGCGGAATGAGATCGGTCAGCAGAGGTGGAGTAAGGTATTGTGGGTTACTGCATGGCAAAGGTGGGGACTCGGGAGGTTGGGGGGATGAGCAGCATCCAACAGCTGGGTTGCGCGGAAACAGTTGGGGGGGGAGGTACTCTTGCAGGCCGAGGGGAGGCACAGAACTGAGTTCGTTTTTCGTCACAAACCTTACCCAACCATTTTCGATGATTGACGAAACGCTCTAGAACGCGAAGAAACTCACCTAGCCGCAGCAAAAAGGAGCTCGAGAGATGGCGAAGGAACACTGTGGCAAAACCCCACCTCTCCTGCGGGTGCTGCTGTCATGCCATGCCATCCAGCCCCCACGCTTATGCGGAGGACGCAGTAGGGAGGCTGGCTGTTGGGGAGAGCGGAAGACAACTGCTGAAACTCCCTAGGGAACGGAAGGATGAAGCCTCGGATGGGGGGAAGGGCAGGCTGGGATGAGCTGGACCATCCGTCGTCAGCCGCAGCAGTCAGCCAATCAGAAAGGGAGGTGCGGTTTGGTCTGGAGCGGTGGAGGAGCTGTCCCTTTCGGCCGTTCAGTCAGCGGGCGCCACGTTGACCATGAAGGGTCACGGGGGGTTCGGAACAGTGACCCAACCACAGATGATACCTGCCAGTAACAGCCTGGATCCTTGGGAAGGGGAGGTTGCGTTTAGGCAGTTCTGACAAAATCGGAAGAGGGATGTTTCACTGTGCTTTATGAACACCCAAAAGTGGATCTCATATGTCCTGCAACACATAGTCATGATGGAGCTTCTTATCATATAAGGAACCAAAATGGGGACATTTGCATAAAACCGTGACAAAAACATCATCAATGGGGCATAAAAACCCTATAATTTCTCAATTATTGTGTACGACGCATGACCACCAACCGAGGACTCAAAGGGCGGTTGATGCTTCGATGCTCCCAGCACACCCAAGAGTCAGTAGGCAGTGACGCTGCCACGTTGAGCACGGCATCGTACTCCTCCCTTGTGCAACCCAGCGTGAATGGGAAGGCAGGGGAAGGGAGAATACGCAGATGGGAGATCTGGGAAGCAAATGCATATTGCAACAAGTCCATAGCATGTGCAAAACACATGCTCAATCCTCATTCAGGCACTCTTGGGCCCCATTTCTCACTCATCTCCGCCCTCCCATCCCTGCGCTCTCACCTGCCCCCTGTGTGGCCCACATACGCCATGACACTGATGACGCCCCCCACTGCTGTGGCTGTTACTGCTGCCGCTAGCGCTGCCACCGTGCTGCTCGGCCGTGTTGTGAGCACAGGAAGAGCGGTGGGAGGAGAGGGAGTGGCGACAGAAGGATGGCGGTCGGCATGAGGCAGATAGCCAAGATTGAACGCCACGAGGCTGGGGTGGTGCAAGGAGGTGGGGGGATGGGGGGACGAGGAGGTGAGGAGGGCAGGGATGAAAAAGTACTGACATGCTGATTGATGGCACGTGGCATGATGTGTAGTTGAATGTGGCACAGTATGTGATTCAACACGAGATGCAAGGGATGTGGCATGCTGCGTGCACCGTGCAGAGTCTGGGGCGACATGGTGAAGCAGCGTGGAGTGGCAGCCGCATATGGTGTGCACACGAGCCATCTGCCACAGGGGAAAGGGGGAGCTCGAGACATTTGTGTGCTGCACCAGTGCCCAAGGATATAAGACTAGCATATGTGTGATCATGGCTGCCACCGACTGCAGGAGAGTTACAGACACATATACAGCAATGAAATCATCTCGAGCGCCTCTCACCTGCTGCTCTGACAGGCCAGCTGCCAGCCGCTGATTGGTTCTCCTGACTGCCTCCTCCTGTATGTCCATGGCCACCACTCGCCCTCTCACCTCCTCCCTCGCACTCTCTGCATCGCCTGCACCATGCCATCCCATGCCACCCAACCCATGCATGCCACGCGTATCGCACCACGCCACGTACTCATCCATCCACCACATGCATGCGTGCAGGAGCACATGGGGTTGGCATTGCATGGCATGCCACTGCAGGCATGGCAGAGAGCGGCATTGAGCAATGCAGCAGGCGCGCTGTGCGGGGCGAGTGCGAGGGCATCACCAGCGGTGGGCGCGAGCGAGAGCGCGAGGGCGGCCATGGCGAGGGCGTCGTGGCCGTTGCCGCACGTGGCGTCCACCACCGTGTCGCCCCGCCGCACCACACTGCTCCACAGCCTGACGCACGCGCACGGGAGCACGGCGGACAGGGGAAAGGGGTACGGGCGGAGGATGAGTGGCGGAAAGCAGGGTGGGGGGGGGGGAGGGAAAGGGGGAACGTACTGGTGCGCGACGGCCGTGAGCTTGCGGCCGCTCAGCAGCGACTGGGCGAGGTCCGGGTCGCTGGGCTGCGCTGCTGACGCCGCTGCTGCTGCCGCCGCGGACGGAGCTTCCCGGCAGGAAGATGTGGCTCGCCGCTGAGGGTCGCCGGCCATCGGCAACATCGATGTCGCCGCCTCGGACCTCATTGACGCTTCGCCACCCGGCCACCTCAGCCTGTCACCGCACTGCATCCCTGTGCGCCTATTCGCATGAAGCGCATCGTTCCACAAATTCCGTGGAAAACTAAGCGCTAGAGGCCAATTGGGTCCCGCACGGATTCTTAGCGACGAGAGCATGGTGGTGGAACTGGGCGCGAATGGCGCTGACGAATTCATGGTAGGGGAAGATGTGGGTCGGTGATGGGAATGCCAGGATTTGGGGGAGCGCTGATTCAACAATGAGTGACCTCGTTGAACCTGATTGCTCATTACAACGCGAAATGGTTTCTTACAGACAACTAACAAGTGGGAAACTTAACAGTTGGATCTATTGCTCGCATAGCGAAGTGCTATCCCCCGCTACTGTCACTCCCTCGAGATTGGTGTTGCGCTGGCGCCCTCTGACGACATTCCCACGATGCGGGAACCCACACCACACGCAAGCGGGGATCGGCCTGACACATTTCAGATGACCACACCGAGCCGAACCGAAGAAAGTTCACCTGAGCATGGTGTCATCTCATCAGCAGCAGGATCTCCCAGGCTGCATGGATTCGGCCGAATTTCGAAATTTCGATTTCCTAGAACTGGTGTCTCGTCCCAGCAGCTCCTGATAGGCATCCTGACATCTCATTTCATCGCCATCTCAGCTTTCTCTTTCTCATCAGCAGGTCTCATTTGCTTCCTCATTCCGTTTTTTACGCTGCACCTCGTTACCGGCGGGTGCTTCGTCCTCCTAGCGTTCCTCGCAGCCATGGCGACTGTAACTGCACCGTCCGTGCAGCAGACGATCGACCGTTTGAGACTGGAGACGGCGACGCTCGATGAGATCAGGTCCGTCCGTGGACTGGTGCAATCAGTTTGGGAACCGTGTCTCAGTTTGCAATTGCCTGATTCAGCAGTAAGCCAGCTCTGCAACATGCTAACCACACAACCCCTTGTCCCATCCCAGCGCCCAAGAACGGAGCGGATTCTTGTCGCTTTTCGAGCGTTACTTGCAGTAAGTCTCAAACATGACTTCATTCGCGAGCTGTCTCTTAGGCTTCCAGATAGTTCTTTATCCGTCTCTGACATTGCTGACGTGGATGGTGCAGGGAGAAGGCGAATGTGATCCAGTGGGACAAGATCAAGTCGCCCACGGACAAGGAGGTCGTTCCGTACGACGACCTTCCCGCCGTGCCTGAAGGTAACCGCATCCCCAGCCTATCCACCCACCCAGCGACACCAACCAACCTCGTCCGTTCCTGGTTCCTGGTTCCTCGTTCCCCTGTCTTAGCCGGCCGTGGTGCGAGCGCCATGGTGTGCAGACCCCGCGGTGGTGAAGGCGCTGCTGAGCAAGCTGGCGGTGATGAAGCTCAACGGCGGGCTCGGCACCACCATGGGATGCACCGGACCCAAGTCAGCCTCCGCGCCCGCTGCTTCATGCCGTTCCTGACTAAAGTTCACCCATTGGATTTGTTTCTAACGGCTCTGTCTATGGCTGTTTCCAGGTCTGTGATCGAGGTTCGGAACGGACAGACATTTCTGGACTTAATCCTGAAGCAAATCGAGGTACGCCAGTCGAGTGGGAGGGAACTTCTGGCGTGTTACTCAAGTTGCAATCACGTGCGCTGCTGACGCTGACGTTGCGGCTTGTGGTGGCAGACGCTGAACGCCAAGTACGGGTCGAGCGTGCCGCTGGTGCTGATGGACTCGTTCAACACGCACGACGACACGCTCAAGGTGCCCCCGCTCCTCGCCTCGCCTCCTCGCATCACTCTTCATGCCTCCCCCTAACGATCCTTCACGCTTTGTGAGTCCGTGTGTCGACGTTTCTGACGGAAAAGCGTGTGCGTGGTGGCAGATTCTCGAGAAGTACACGGACTCGGCGGTGAAGATCAAGTACTTCAACCAGGTCAGCTCGCCGCCCGCACGTGTGCTGACTTACTGCCGCCTCTCTCCGCATCGCTGTGTCCTCTCCATCAGCACGTCCCATCCATGCGCTCTCGTCAGGATGCGCGTGTCTGCACGTAGCTTCCACGTGCGTCGACGCCATGCTGCTCAGATCCGCCACTCACCTTCCCGCGCCCCTATTGACTGTGCGCAGAGCCAGTACCCGCGCGTGGTGGCGGACGACAACACGCCGTGGCCCGCCAAGGGGCGCAAGGACAAGGCGGCGTGGTACCCGCCCGGCCACGGCGACGTGTTCCCCGCGCTCTGCAACAGCGGCGTGCTGGACCAGCTGCTCGCCGAGGTACGGCGCGCAGCAGTGGGGGTGTGCAGCAGGCTGGCGTAGAGGAGTGACGAGGTGATGTAGAGGTCTGGCAGAGACTCGTGTAGGGGAAGGGCGGAGAATGAGGAAGATGCCTGGTGGGACTGACGTAGAGGTTACTGCGTAGGGGCGGAGGGTGCTGCAGTGGAAAGGGGAAGCCGTGTTCATGCTTTGAGTGGTCGTTGCGTGCGTCGCAGGGCATTGAGTACGTGTTCCTTGCCAACGCGGACAACCTCGGGGCGACCGTGGATCTGCGCATCCTCAACTTCATCGTGCAGAACAACAACGAGTACTGCCTGGAAGTGAGTGCAAAACAAGAACGAGTGCTGCCTGGAAGTGAGTGCAAAACAACAACGAGTACTGCCTGGAAGTCTGTTCTGCCATCACTGCCACGTCCTGCTGATTACCTGCCGTTTTTGTGCCTCCCTTCCACTGCCCTGCCTTTATCCTTCCCGCCCTCCGTGCCTCGCCGCGTGCGTGGCAGGTGACGCCCAAGACCCTGGCGGACGTGAAGGGCGGCACCATCATCAACTACGACGGCAAGCTGCAGGTCACCACTCTATCCTCCTCCCCGCACCTCCTCCTCACCGCGCACTGCCTGTCACGAGCAGTGCTTTCGCCATCATGCGTGCCGCTGTTGCACTCGGGCTGCCTTGCTTCCTGCGGTCATGACCACCTTTCAACGCATTCAACGTTCTTCCTCCCCTCCGCTCTGCTTCCCCACACTGTCCTTGCAGCTACTGGAGATTGCCCAAGTGGCACCAGAGCATGTGAGTGCCAACGGGGTGTTAGAGGGGCAGCGGGGCTGTGAGTGCTCATTGTTCCAGCAATGGTTTGAGGGATGGCTGCTGCGCTCGTGACCCTCTAGGCGCGTGTGCGTGGCGTTGCACTGGTACAAGTGGCGGAGATAAGCAACCCCTAATGCATGCACGGGCGTTGCTGTGCGGGTGTGCGGAGGTGCGGTGGTGCTGCAGGTGTCGGAGTTCAAGTCCATCGACAAGTTCAAGATCTTCAACACCAACAACATGTCAGTCCGCCCTGTGCCTCACAGCAATAACCGCTTGTTAGGATCACTCAACCTTGGCTGTGTGTAATGAGGGCAAGCGACAGGCCATTGAAGCAGCCATTGGCGGTGCGGTGCGTGGTGTGTGCAGATGGCTGAACCTCGCAGCCATCAAGCGCCTCGTGGAGTCGGACGCGCTCAAGCTCGACATCATCCCCAACCCCAAGGTGCCACGCCCCGCTCCCTCTCCCCTGCCCTCGTCCCATGCCTCGTCCCCCATTTCACGCCCCATCCCCTCCCATCCGCCTTCGCCATTGCTCTCCCCGCACTCCTGCCCATCGTTTCTCACTGGCCGCCAGGAAGGCACTAACAACATCTCCGTCACACCCATGTGCCCATGCGCTTTGCATGCACGTGTGCATACGTGCATGCTGCATGTGCCCATGGTCCATGCTGCGTGTGCCCATGGTCCATGCTGCGTGTGAGCAGGTGGTGGATGGGGTGGAGGTGCTTCAGCTCGAGACTGCTGCTGGTGCCGCCATGAAGGTGAGTGCGCCATGCCATGACACCTGCTGCACCACCTGCTCACATGCCCCCCTGCTATTTTCGACTCCTTTCCCAGCCAACATCCTCGGACCCCATGTTTCTTCCCCTTCCTTCTCCCACCTCGCCGCCCCATTCTTCTGCCCCTACCCCCCTCCGCCCCTCCAGTTCTTTGACCGGGCCATCGGAGTGAACGTGCCTCGCTCGCGCTTCCTACCCGTCAAAGCCACCTCCGACCTCCTGCTCGTGCAGGTGCCTCTCCCCCCTCCTTCCCGAGCGCCCCTCTCCCTCCTGCTCGTCCATCTCCTGCCCTCATCGTTCACATCGCTGCTTTGCTCACTCACAGCCCCCTCGTCCATCCTTCCTCTCCCATGCCCCTCGCCTCACCGCACCTCTTTTCTCTCTCACCCCACGCCCCATGCCCCATGCCCTACACCACATGCCCCATGCGGCACGGCGTGCTGCAGTCGGACCTGTACACAGTGCAGGATGGGCTTGTCACACGCAACCCTGCCCGCACCAGCGCTACCAACCCCACCATCGACCTCGGCCCCGAATTCAAAAAGGTGCTTCCCCCCTTCCCCTAAACATATCATGTGTCATTTGGAAGTGTGGGTGGTTGTCCACTCATGTGTGTTCCTTGTTGTTCCAGCTGCTTGCAGTACTGAGCGGCAAGCATAATGCTGTGAATGCTGTGCATGATTAATGTGTTGCTTTGCTGCTGCATCATGCGCTGACCATCGCAGGTGGCGGACTTCCAGCGGCGGTTCAAGGCCATCCCCAGCATCATAGAGCTCGACAGCCTCAAGGTGTCGGGAGACGTGTCCTTTGGAGAGAACGTCACGCTCAAGGTGCGCGCCCCACTCTCGCCTTAGCACTGCCTGAGGCGCCTGGACGGAACTGCCTTGCTTGAATGTCCTTATCCCATTCGTGCACCTTGCTGTGTGGCCCCTTTCTCTTTTCCACCTCCCTCCCCTCCATCCCTCGCCTCTTCTCTCCCATGCCGTTCTCCCGGTCCTCCCCTTGTCGGTGTCCTGCCTGCCCCGTGCATCCAGGGCAAGGTGGCGGTTGAGGCCCCCAAGGATGACAAGATCGTTGTGGCTGACGGCACTGTGCTGGAGGGATAGGCATGCAAAGGGGTTTAACCAGAAGTTGATATCTCGGGCTATCAGCAAAGGATTGCACAGCACGATTCGTTAGTGTTAAGTTGCAGATCGCCTTGCAACACCTTCCAGAGCATGAGGCGATGTTTCTGCTGTCGACTGGTCTCCAATGTAGATAGCGAGGCCATTCATGCACTCCCTGGAAGAAGCTTCAGTATTTGCCCGACTCAATTGCATGTTCATCCCTTGATGCTAACCATTTTACCGGTATGAACCACTGATCGAACAAAGGGGGCAAAGTGGCCATTTCTTTGTAGTACTAGGAAGTGTTCGTTCTTCCTTA